AAACGTACGCAGTCCTGGCGCATGGTCTGTGCTTAGTAAGTAGTCGTAGCATTTAACTGGATGTTTGTATTTTGTTACAAAGTTAAGTATTTGCCGGTTTTTCCTTTTTTGCATTCCCTTTAGTAAAAAGAGCAGTTTGGGGTGTGTTGAGGATATTACTAAATGACTTTTTACAGTTGCTGTACTTAAATGCCATTGCTACACAGACTGCGTATTTTGTAAAACACTCGAGAGAAGTTTGGCATCGAGGGAACGTGTTCCAGGGAACCCTAAAGTCAGGATTTTTGCCCAAAATGACCTCGGTCAGATTTAGCAGTGAGGGAGAAGGGTCTGGGCAGAGCGTGGATGCCCCACGGCCGGTTCAGCACCGTGAATGGTGACTCCCTGGCTTTTGTGTTTTGGAATCGTCATTCCTGGCAGGAAGTGTTGTACTCTCTGTACCACTTTCTAGAACCAACAGATTTTAAAAACAAACAAACAAACAGACAAACCCTACCAGGTGAGTGAGTGAGTGTCTGGAGGAAGGAGGGCCGGCAGCGGCCCCTCGGTGAGTCCCTGTTGACCACGTGAAGGAAGCTGTGGGCTGAGCCTCTGCGCGGAGGCCACTTTCGCGACAAGAGGACCCGCGGGTGGGACGGAGGAGGGCCGCGCCAGCCACCAGCACGCGACCCGAGCCTGCTGGTGTCTCTCCCTTCAAACCACATGGGCCCCGAGGAACTTGGGAGGAAACGCCGGGCCTACCTCACAGGAGTGAGGCGTGGGGGCCGCAGTCGGGAAGGAAGGCCTCCAGATCCTCAGGCTTTCTTATCCTCGTGGCCACCCCTTCTTCACCTTGGATGCTCGCGCAAATCCAGAAAATAGAAAAAGAAAGCTCACTTCCAGATGTCCCCTTTTCCACGCTCTTCTGTCCTCTGGTCCGAACCTCCCTCCCAGGTAGAGGTGAAGCACTGGTTCCTGCGAGCTGCCGGGAAGGGCCGTTTGAGGGGCGGACAGATCTTCTCTTCAGGATTAACTGAGTGCAACTGGAAGCAGCCCCGTGCTGTGAAAGAGCCTCACGGGTGGACGGAAGCCGGGCCGAAGAGGACAGTTTGACAGCCGGGACCCAACCCTGCACTTGGGATTTTTCACACGACTGCGACCGGCCTTATTTTTTACAAGAGATTCTCGTCTTCATGTTTGGGTAGCGGCCTAATTTTACATTCTTACGGAAGCTCACAGAACGATGGCCCCGTGCAGATAACAATCTGTATTTCCCGGTTCGGGACCGGAACAACCTATAGAAAGTCAACACATTTTCCCAGTTTTTGAGAGAAACCGGGTTATGTCAGAATCAAAACGACTTCTGTCTTTCTCTCCGAAAGCACTTCGGAGTGTGGGTAGGAAACACCAGGAAATCCTAACAGGTTTTCAGCAAGAAAATGATGTGAGGGTCCCTGGCCTCCTCCTCCCACCTTGCTGCTGGTGCTGCTTTTTTTTTTTAACATATTTTTTTAAGGTTTATTCATTTTTCAGAGACAGAGCATGAGCGGGGAGGGGCAGAGAGAGAGGGAGACACAGAATCCGAAGCAGGGTCCGGGCTCCGAGCTGTCGGCACAGAGCCCGACGCGGGGCTTGAACTCGGGCACCGTGAGATGATGACGTAGCCGAAGTCGGACGCTCAACCGACTGAGCTACCCGGGCACCCTGTAACCATCTGTGTTTCTAACAGAACTAGCCTTTTTCACACCAAGCATTAGGATTTTACTGAAACCTCATGACCACCGTGAGGCAGATACTGTCATTGTCCCATTTTACAGAAGAAGTTGAGGCAGAAACGGTCATGACTGGCCACGGCTCTGCACTCCTGAGCAGCAGGCCTGGCGTTTCGAACCCGCACTTTCTGACTCCAGGGCCCAAGAGCTTCATGTGGGTCCTGTGATCGTTTGACACACTGGGGCATGGTCTGCCCCCCCCCCCCCCGAATGGATGAAGCAGCCAAGGCAAAGGGTAATGAAGTCCCGGCCTGACAGAGGGGTCGGGGGCTCCACAGCCTGCCCGGGGCCCCGTGCTGTCTCTCAGGTGTGCCGGGGGCCGGACAAGACGCACGGCAGACGTCCCCTCCCGCCATCCTCACATGTCACCTGACCAGCTCTACCTTGTTGCGGTTGCGTAAACTGGCCCCAAGTCGCGCATCGTACGAAGTGGCCGTGTTGGAATTTGAGCCCAGGTCTGTCCTTTTCCAGGACCTTCCTCTGGCCTCGGTGGACCCCTCCTGGGCCCCCGTTCCCACACTTTCCTCTCGAAACCACGCTCCACACAGCTACCCGAGACAGGGTCCTGATTTCTCTACTTCGCTCTTGCCCCAGGTTCTAATTGTACTGGAGTAAAACACAGACTCTTCACCGCATCCCGATCCCCTGCAAGGTCTGCCTTGTTGCTTTCCACCCTCCCGACACAGAGGTGACCCCGGACCTTTCTTCGTGCCTTGGGGCTTGTGCACGGCCCGCAGCCCTCTGCCCCAACACCCCTTTCTTTGTAGCCTGTGGGTCTGAGAGTGGTGGTGCCTCCTCGGAGAGGCCGCCTCCCACTGCCCTTGCCCGGTGAGTCAGTCTCTAGAATGTAGATGCCACCAGGGCGGGGACCTGTTGCTTTCCCAGCATGGAGCGTGGTGTCCTCACATTTGCTGACGAGCGACTAGATCATGGCTGACTTCTTCAGACAGCCGGGTGTGTGATCAGCCGTTTGGATCTAAATCCCGTGCTAATTCCAGTATAATGCTCAAGGAGCAGATTGTTTGCAGAGAGGAGGAAAAACACATTAGAGTATTAGATTTCTATAACGGAATGAGATTTTTCTCCCCAGAGTGAGGCGGCCGGTACTTTAGAAGTTGTAAGAGAGACATATGTCAGGGAAGAACCTTAGAACTTAACGTCACCACCGCAGCCAGCGTGGCCTTCATATAAATAGCCCAGCGGGCCTGTGGTATTTATTTCCAGTTAACGTGGAAGGCAGTTAGTTGCACGTGATAAATTTCTGCCGAGTGGTCTTCCCTTTAAAACGGACACGGCCGAGCTCCTCCCGTAACCAGGATGAGTGGGCTCCCGGGTCTGTGCTCTGTCCTTCGTTCCCCTGCTACTGAGAGAAGTGGAAGCCGACAGCACAGGATGAGAAACACCACCGCCCACGGGCTCGCTTCGGGGCGGAGGAGTGTGGGCGGGAAACGGACGCGTCTGCGGGCCCACCCCTCTTGACCGCTGACTTTCTGGGAGGTGGGGGGTCAGGGGGGGGGTGGGGGGAGACAAGCCAGCACGGTGACCCGTGGAGCGGACCGTCCCGGGCGACCAGTGACAGTGGTAATGTGTTCAGGCCCCTGGCACGTGCAGTTTGTGAACACAGCCTCTGGGGCACCTGCTGCGTCTCGTCTAGTCTGAAATCTGCCAAAACCCCCACACTGTTTGTCTGTCATTGAAACAGAAGCCTTGCTCTCTTAGAAGTATTTCTGACCCTTAGCTGTGCTGCGTAAACTTCGGACTTCATTAGTGCTAGACTGACACTCATTTTCTGTGATTTAGTTGAGACTACTCACTTTTTCTACTCCAAATACTAACTTCATTTTGAACTGTTTTTTCTTGATGTTTATTTCTTTATTTGGGGAGAGAGACCGCGCGTGCATGTGTGCAGGGGAGGGGCAGAGAGAGAGAGAGAGAGAGAGAATCCCGCACAGGCTCCACCATGTCAGCACAGAGCCCAACGTGGGGCTCGATCTCATCAACTGTGAGGTCACGACCTGAGCCGAAACCAAGAGTCAGACACGTGGCCGACCAAGCCGCTGGCGCTGCTTGAACTGTCCGTTAGCTAGTTCCAGGGGTGCTTCGCAGAGGTAGTCGCTCTAATCTCTGCAAGCTTATTTTGTCCTTCGGGATGCTTTGAAGACAAAGGGACCTTACTTCAAGCATCATCAGACCCACCGTCCCTTTAACTGACTTGGAGGCAGAGGTAGGAGGAGGCTTGCGGTTAGACTGAGCCACAGGAAGAACCGCTCTGTCCGCCTGCTCCCCCCGCCGCCCCCACTTCCCTCCTCGTCGGCCACGCTCCCAGACAAGTGCTCGGAAGTAGGTGGCGCGGTGGTCGCGAGGGTGGGTGCCGGAGCCCGCCTCCCACCCTGGCTCAGCCACCTGAGGGTGCGTGACCGCAGACCAGCGTGAGCCCCGACGTCTTGTGTCGTCGTCCGTAAAAGGAGGGTGATGGTACCTGCTGCAGAGTGCATCCTGAGGACGGAATGCTTGCTCTGGGTCCTGGAACAGCCCCGACGTGTCCCGGGCGTGTCACAGCCGCCGCCGTCACGTTTATTGCGCTTGCTCTTACTGTTGCGTGCAGATACGTGGAAGGTCTTGGTTCCTGTGAGAGGCGCTGGAATCGGTTCCCCTCGCAAAGCCTTGCTTACCGCGGGGTCCCTGCGGAGAAGGTCACTGCTGCTCACCCGACGATTCCTTTATCCCAGAGAGCACACGGTACTTTACGGACGTCCTCTTGCCTGGCAGACGGGGCCTGGAGCCTCCCGGGGGTCTCTGCTGTGCGACCACAGGCTTCCGCTCATGATTGCTCCGTCCTCGGGGGCCGGGCCATCTCAGACGGCTCCACGCGGTCTCCGGCCGCGGCCCCGAGCGGGGATCGCAGCACCAGGGCGGCACGGTGTCTTTAGGAGTTTGTCGTGTCCAGAGTGCATCTCCCCGACGAACGCTCCCCTGCAGCGCGAGGGCTGACTTCGTGTGGGGCTGGGCTCCCGCGCGCGTGCGTTAAGTAACCTCTCGCTCACGGCCCATCGAAGTAGGTAGAAGACGGGCAGGGGGCATTTGTCCCGCGGACGCTGAAAGCGTCTCTCCTTCCGCGCGCCAGGAGCTGTGGGGACGAAGCTGGCGGTCCCGGCACACAGGTGATCACCCGTTCTGTGGGAGGGGTCCGGTTCACCCCGTGACCGCAGCCTGAGAAGGGGCGCGGGAGGGGGCCCCGGGGAGGGGGGCGCGCAGCGTGATGGGCCCTGGGGGTGGGGGTTCTTCCTGCGCCGCTTACCGAGCACGTGCTGCGTGCCCTCCACGTGCCAGGCGCCGCTGAGCTGGGACACGCGGGGGCTCGCCCGGCATCTCGGAGGTGACACTGGAGTGCGGCCCCAGATGCACATGGAACCGCTTCACGGCCCCAGAAGCCTTTAGTGTGGTTTCAGTTAGAAGTGGTGGTGGCCGTTTCTGATCCCGAGACCTGTCGTGGGATGTGGACGCCTCGCTCTGACCGCCCCGTGCCACACTGCGCTTTCAAGTGGTGAGTCAAGTGATTCCAGACTGTGTCATGCACGAAATTGGTCGCGGTGCCCTCGAAGCCTTTACCTCCAAAACCCCGCGGCTGTGAGCTACCCACGCAGCCCTCACTCGGCCGCAGGAGCTTCTGGGGTGGGGAGCGGGTGTGGTGACAGAGGGCAGGGGCCTCCTCCTCCCATCACTTGGCCGGTGTCACTTTGCTCATCTCGGAGGCTTGGGCTTTATACGTGTGGGATTTGTCAAGGACCAAGCGCTCCTAACCCTGCTGGTGTGGAGGGGGTGGGGGGCAAGAGACAGACCGCGTCCGCACGCGTGTGACGGCGCTGGGGACGCAGAGCCACCTGAGGTGGGGGGAGAGGAGCAGAGGCCCGTGAGGTGCTGAGTGTCGGGTCTCCCCCGTAGAGGCTCCACTTGCGGAAAGTAAATCGTGCCTACCAAGGACAGAGCATGCACCCTTTGTTCCAGAATCACCTAGAAGGTGCTGATCGGGGTTCAGCCCAGGAAGAAAGTGTCTGACACAGCTCTGTCAGAATTGGGCAGTTTGTGTTCTTGGGCCTTGTGGCTCTTCCTGTGACGTCCTAGTCCCCTGGGGATTCAGACGCCAGGAAACGGCCCCTGCCTGCAGAGGGGGTGGTTCCGGGATGACTCCTTCCTGCCCCTTCTTGGAGCTCGTGCTAAACGCAAGTATTATTTCATATTCTCCAGACTGTGGCCTGTAATCTACCAATCTGCCAGCTGTCCCCCCGCCCCCACCAGCCGGGTCAGTCTTCCCGTGACCACGCTCAGGATTCACAATTAGCTAGTAATTGGTAAATGAGCGAGGACGCACGCGTTCATTTGTCGGTGCCGCCGGGACACAACACGCGGCAGAGCCTCGAACGGCTCGGATCCGCACGGCGCTGGAGCGCCTGAACCACAGATGTTCCCTCATATGAAAATACAGAAGTGCAGAGGGAAATCAGATACCAGATAGGCCGACAATCTGGAGAAGGAGGAGGGAGCCAGATGGGCGGTTTGTGGTGGTTATCGGGCACACTCTGGCTTCCAGCGCCAGGCGGGGAGACCCCGGATAGAATCCGCACCGCAGAAACTTCTGCTTTAATTTCCTGACGGAGAAGAGCATGGGGTTAGCCGGATGACATAATGAGAGTTAAGAGCAGAAGGTAATTATGGTAGATGAAGGCAGAAGGAAAGGGAAGTATGTTGGCCCTTGGAGGTCGAGTCAGTCCGTGCAGGAAAAGCATGTGCTGCCCCGGGAAGGGAAGGAACGGTGGCCGTGTTTTCCAGGTGTGTCCTGACCGCCGGCCCTCGTCTGTCCGCAGCTGGGTGCCCCTCACCCTCCAGAAACCCCTGAATCGTGAGCTCTTCCTCCTTCACCACCTCCACTCGGACGTCCTCTGTGGTTTGGACAAGGTCCTCGTCCTCCGGCAGAGGCCTCGGGGGAGCCCAGGGATCCCGGGGCAGCAGTTTGAGAGACGCCACTTTTCTCCCCTCAGAAAGTCAGTACATGAAGAGCAGGGCTGAGGTTGGTGAGGACCTGGGAAGCGGGGCCCCCCAGGACACCCCCCGACGCGGGCAGGTTCTCCGACTTGTGTGGCTAGGAGGAAGGCGGAAGTAAGTCATTGCCGCGGGAAGAGAAGCTGCCCTTTCGGTGCCTGCTCGTCCTTTGCCTGACAGCATCGGCATATTTAGAAGTATTTTGTCTTTTAGCAAGGGAAAGCGTTTTCAGAAGCATTTTAAACTGAGCCACTTCTTGGCACTCTGAAAGATTCTTCAGTTTTACCACTTCCGTGAAGATACTAGTTTAGATACGGAAGTCGTTTGAAAGCATCCTGATCTTTAGCAGAACCGTAGCTTCGTATTACAAAAACCTTAATATTATAATGTGGCGGGTAATTACACGGTTTTTGTGAAACCCGAAAACCTGATCAAGTAGGTTCGCCTCATATCGAACATCCTGTTCTCACACCAACTTTGTAAAAGGTTTTTATGCTCTGTGCCCTGCGAAATAGCTGACTTTGTTAGGCAATACGTAAATCCCATGCCATCAATGGGCTTGTTGTCTAAAACTAATTTTTCGAAATGTATCCCGAAAGCAAAAATTAAATGTAGATCCTATGTATATAGTACCTACGTTTGTTATATACGTATCGTATATGTTAAGATGTTAAATATAGATGTATGCTGTGCATGTACAGGTTTATAACATAGAAAATATCATAGATATTACATAGATAGTATGTACACACACATTATCAAAATCTTTTAACATAAGCTAAGTTGTTTTGATTTAGATAATGTGAGTTTTTCTTTTTTTTTTTTTTACATTTGTTTATTTTTGAGAGAGAGCGACACACACACCAAGAGTGTGAGAGGGGGAGGGGCAGAGAGAGAGGGAGACACAGAATCCAAAGCAGGCTCCAGGCTCCGAGCTGTCAGCACAGAGCCCGACACGGGGCTCGAACCCACGAACCGTGAGATCATGACCTGAGCCGAAGTCAGCCGCTTAACTGACTGAGCCACCCAGGCGCCCTACTAATGTAAGTCTTTCAATGCCAGGACTTTAAAAAGCTCATTTATTCACTCAACAAATATTTATTGGTGCCTTCCGTGTTCTAGGCCAGAGGTAGGCAAACCTTTTCTGTAAAGGTTTAAATTTAGTAAATATTTTTGGCTTTGCTAGCCAGACGGTCTCTACCACACCTCCACAGCTCAGCCGTTGGAACATGAAAGCAGCCATAGTCAGTAGGTCAGTGAATGGGCATGAATAAAGTGCCAGCCAACTTCATTGGCTATGGGTACTGAAATTTGAGCTTCAAATAATTTCCACGTGTCACCAGTTAGTAGTAGCTTTTGATTTTTTTCCCCCAGTGATTTAAAAATATAAAAACTATTGTCCACTTGCATCCGTACAAAAACACAGGCCCTAATTTGCTGACCACTGTCCTCAGCATCCTTCCAGCCACAGAGCCGGAGCGGTGACCGGAACGGAGCCCCCTGTCCTCCCGGGCCCTGCGTTGGGGTGCACAGGTGTCTGATTCTGAGAACTGAAGGGATGTTGCCCTTCTTAGATGGAACTTTCTCATCGGACACTTCCAGCTGCAGTGTTTTAATTCTCTGACTGTAAAGTGAATTTGGCACATCAGTCTGCTGGTTCGTCACATCCGTGTTGGGAGATTTTCTAGATCGCACTGTCTCCCGGCCTACATTTTTGTGCCTCACGAACACCTCATCACCCGACTTGTCCAAGGCCGCAGGGTTCGGTGTTGAGCTGGGTCTTTCCGAAGCCCGGGGCTGCGGCTCTGGGCCCGAGAGGAGCCGCCTCCTTCCCAAGCACGGCAGTTCTGGGGTGCTCATTGCCACTGTCCCCTTTGTGCCTGTGTCCAGACCCCAGAGTGCCCTGTTGAGGAGCCGGCCAGCCCTGTGGAGTCCTCACTCGAGTGCTGATTGCAAGACTCTTTCAGGGCAGTCTTGTCGCGCACAGGCTCACGCCTTGTATTTGCAGTAGCTATGGAAACTTTAGAAGCTGTCTCTCTAAAGCCAGGCGCACAATAAAGCACTTCACGTGTTGGTTGGATTAGACTTTAGAAGATGTTTAATTTTCTCCCCCCGCTCTTTCTCTCTGTCTGTCTCTTTAGAGAGGGAACAAGAGGGCAATGTGAATATTAACTGGGACTCCCTTTAATCTCCCTAGCGACCCTTCGGGCTGTCTAGGGCTGCGCAGGCTGCCCAGGGCTCCGGGCTTTCAGAGCCGCTAACGAGGAGAGCCATGCATATTCATGAGCCAGGCTCGTGTGCGTGAGATGCCGCTTGTAAGGGCTTGTTTCAGTGTTTTCTCTTTTCAACTCAAATTTTGTGAAAGAAACGACCGCTAAATTTGGTTTTTTTAAATTATGATTAAGTCAGAGCCCCTGGACAGTAGTGCTAAAGCGTTCTCCCTGGAAATAGGGACAAAGGAGAGCCTGTCTGTGTGGCATTTAATTTATAGATGGGACAACACAGACCCCGAGTGTGGGTGCTCACCAAGGGTGGAGAAGCAGAGCAGGCCTTTCCTATTTGCTCGGGGCACCGTGTTCGAACTTCACGAAATCCTCCTTCAGGAGGAAATACGATTTCACGTTGACAAGAATGGGAAACATACATTTATGTGAAAAGTCGGGGGGGGGGGGTTGCTGTTCGGTTATTTCCGATCTTCAGAGTGTGCAAAGGAGCGGACTCCAGCGTGTGGCCCTACCTCTCCCGACCCCCCACTCCGTCCGCGCACATCTTCTTGCCTCCTGAACACCAGTTGCAGAAAAAGACAGACGTGCTTTTTCTGCTCTGGGCTTTACTGCTTCTTATATTGGGTTGTCCGCTGCGTGGCTGTGCCGCGAATCTGTCCCTCGAGAAGTTCACAGCGGCTGCGTTGTGCTCCCAGAGTCGTGCTGGCCCAGCCGGGAGCAGCGCCCCTGCCCGGTCTGACCGCCGGGAATCTTCACCCCTCTCCTTCTCCTCTGGGTTCCTCTTTTGCTACGTGCAGAATGGGGGGTGCGTGGGTTTTTCGTTTCCAAGCGCTTCCAGGGTGAAGTGCCGCTAAGCTGCCGTGGCACCGCTTCCACAAGGCGCGTTGGTTGCCTCGCCACAACGCACGTGATTGAGATGTGCCCTCTCATCTGCCCACGTGGGAATCCTCCCGGTGTCTCTTGTCCCATACCCTGTATCGACACCACGCACGCAGCTTCCTCGCCTGGGTTGCATTTGTAGTGGGTTTCTTTCATCTGATCCTTCCGCCGTGCAAAGCCCTGAGTCAGCAAACCACACCAAGAACCAGAAGGAAAAGCACAGCCTGTGTGGGTCACTGCTGTGCCACCGCGGCCCCACCCACGTGGCGAGTGGGAGCTAGCACGCCTTGTTCAGAGGTCCCACAGACATCTCCCGACACTGTGCTTGGAACAGAGGCGGATCACACTTGCCCCCGAGGAGTTCGCAGGGCGTCTGGGTGGACAGGTAGAAACAGACAGTCATGGCTTCCAAAGTCCGCAACTCACTTTGTGCCTGGAGCCAGACTGGAGGCATAGACGTGAATCTGGTGCGGCTCCTGCCCTCGAACGTCACAGTCAGGTGGGCGCAGTGCACCTGGAAGAGCTGCCGGAGACACGCAGTGAGCGCGCCTGCCTCGTGGCGCTCAGAGGCAGCCCGGGACGCGAAGGGCGCCCGGCGAGAAGGGTGCGCAGCGACCACGGGGGGGGGGGTCGTTTCCCCGTCACACGCACTTTGATCCCTGAAGCTCTGGACGATGGTTCTTTGCTGCAGAGACGCTCCGCCTTTCATCTGGCAGTGTCCGGGCTGCATGGGATCCCTCCATTGCCGAGCCAGCGCCCCACCTCCCGCCCCCGTCTTTAGGAGCTCTCAGTGAGACTTCAGTTTTCCTGCGTTCAGTTCTGTTGCAGTGAGTTAACTAACAGGAAACCTTCGAAAGAAGTACTCCACTCCTATCACGTAGCGCTCAGGACGTACACACACGAACCAAAATTCTTCAAGCGTATGTATTTATTTTCTTGCCTGAATTTACCCTTCTGTTGCTTGCTCCTTCAATCTGATCTCTTGATCACTGCCCCCCCCCCTCCCCGTTTGGTACAAAAAGTGAGGAGTTTGTAGATTGAGGTCATTCTGGATGAGAAAGTACTTGCGGCAAACAATTCATTGTTCAGAAATTCACTAAGGCATCAGAAGTTTTGTCACCCAGGATTCTCATTTTTATTCTTCATACTGGCGCAGAGTTGGGGGGGGGGGAGGTTCGGTGATTGTGGAAAAGGGGCGGAAATTCTAATTTAGGCCTTTATGCATCTGGATGTTTGTACGGACTCGATCTCCAGAAAGGAAATACAGCCCTGTAAAGGGCCTGGGCTTTGTCATCGAAGGATGACCGATAAGTGGCAAAAGGGCATTCTGCCACCAAAGGGGGACAACTAATTCTAGAATCAGCATCAGCCGGGTGTTCACAATTCCTGTTCTGTGCCGTCTGGAACAGGTTAGTCATTTATACTCACTAGTGGTTTTGATGATAAACCTCCAGAGGCGAGCAGACGTCTGCTCAGCCTCGGCACTGCCCGAGGCCGCCTCCGGGAGAGGTGGGCCGGTGTGGACTGTCTGTGAGCAGGGGAGCGCAGAGGCCATGAGGAACTCCAAGACCTTGTCAGGATTGTGAGCCAGCGTGGGTGTGTCAGAGGGACAGGGACGGAGCAACCCTTTAACCCCAAGAAGACACGTCCTGAACATAAAACTGCCACGTTTTCCATGCCTTGGTTTGTCTGACTTTGGTGGACAAGCCGATTTTTTACCATTTTGCTTTGAGCTTTTTTTTTTTTTTTTTTTTCCAATGTTTATTTTTGAGAGAGAGACAGAGCAGAGCACAAGCAGGGGAGGGGCAGAGAGAAAGAGAAGGAGACACAGAATCCGAAGCAGGCTCCAGGCTCTGAGCTGTCAGCACAGAGCCCAATGCGGGGCTCAAACCCCGGAACCGCGAGGTCATGACTTGAGCTGAAGTCGGACGTTTACCCGACTGAGCCACCCTGATGCCCCTACTTTGGCTTATCGAACTAGGGAAACCGTTTGATTCACTTTCTTTCCCAAACACTACAAGAAAGAGCCTTTATACATATTGAAGCCTTTCTCTGTGGCTTCCTGTGTCCAGTTGAGGGAGCTAGAAATGTCTGAGCACCAGCCTCACCACTATGCTGGGAGCTGGGACAGGGTCAGAAGTGTTGACCCTTCAGACTGGAGAGCCTGATACAATTTGGGGACACAGATGCCCCCATTCTGACACCAGAAATGCCTGCACAGGAAACATCTGGCGATCGGGGAGAGGGTTTGTTTTTCTTGCCAGCTTCCATCCGATGGTGGGCAGGGAGGCCTTCCTTTATTGGAGAAAGCATCTGCCCCACCCCAGGTGTTTGATGTTTCCTCCGGAACCGCAGAAGGTGCCAGGCCCACCGTATTCGACACCTCTGATGCATCCCTGGACCCAGCGCCGAATGCTGCTTGGTACCCGAGGCAGCTTCTATAGTTTTTTTGTAGAACAACATGCGGCAGCAACTTAATGCTTCCCTGAGATTTTCACAGCTCTTGGTCACTAAAAGACCT